TTGAATTAATAAAAATATGAAGATCTTCACATTACCTTTTAAAAAATAAGTAAGGCAGTAATTCTAACTGTAAGCTCCATTTAAATCAGTTGAGTTGAATTTAATTCTATGGACGATCTTGGTAACTGAGAATGTGTTTATAGAAGTGTTTGTTTGCTTTTTAAGCTTTTCCTTGGGATAAGAATTTATTTGAGTGCAAAACTCACTGGGAATCTTGGGATTGAGGTATATACATCTTTAGAAGTGCTCTTCGTGTGACATTAACAGTCATTGCAATGTCCTTGGTGTATGAGCTGCAACTATGCTGCTGTAGTTTTTCTGCCATTAGCATAATCCTGGACATGCTTCTTTTCACACTGATACCACTGTGCTTGTTCTGTGGAGTTTGTTCCCAGGTGAATGATTGCAGCCTTGGGCAAGTATTGTTTTTTTGCTCCCTCCATTCTTAACTGCGGTGCCCAAAGGGTGGTCGTCTCCCTCAACCCTACATGGGGCATCTAGGTAGGGGGGGGATTTAAAGCATGAGATTTGGTCACATCAGTGTTCTGATGACAATCAGTTCTACCTCTTAGTTATATGCTGCTGAGATACTGTAGCATTGTTAATTTTTGTGTCAAAAATGGTCTGGCAATAGACATGGGTAGAATAAATACATTCAGGGTAGAGTAGAGAGCTAAGTGGCAGGTACTATTGAGGTTTTAAAGTTTTATGTATGTACAGAGACTCCAGCTCAAGGTGGAATATGCTAGAAAATTCTAGCTGGTCAGTAATTTTCCATTTCTACTAGACGCAGACCGATGTTGTTTTCATATTGTGTAGTTTATCTCTTTCAAGGCCACTGGGAGCATATATAAACTACCCAGCGAACAGCCTCATCTGTACTTTCACTTCTCTCTGTCTGGGTTTTACTTTTTTTGCTCTGAACTAATTTTTTACAGTTTTTATATGCTGTACTGAAGTCGCCCCCCCTCCAAGTTGCATATTGTTAGGGCTCTGGTAAAGATAAGATTTTTCAAGTAAACTACTATTAATTATTTTTCTGGGTGTCCAGTGTTGTTTTTGCAATACAAGCAGCTGCTACTCTGCTAATTAATCATTGAGTCGGAGAAGCCCCTGGACTTGAGGCTCATATCTCAACAGGTACAGGACCTTACTGAATGTGGGTAAGCTGACTGAACCTAGATCCAGAAAAACTGTTGGTAGATCCTGAGCCCAGGTTTTTTATTCTGGCTCACAATCCCAGCGAGTTAACCTATGTCCTATCAATATAGTTTGATCTGTGAAGGGGGGGGGGGAGTAATCTGGCCACAGAGAGGATGGTTAATTTATTATTTAATTTATATTCTGCCTTTCTCTACTCCTCTTCATGCTTCCTCTTGCAGATGATAAATATGAGACTACCTGCATGGCTTTTGTGCCCAAAGTGAATGTGGGTAGTTAATTGCCACAAATTTCATCAGTGCAATCAGAAATGTTGAGAATTTAAACTTCAATATATTGCTGCTTTGAAGGATTTTCGTGTAACTTTGGCAGATTAAACAATTAGAGACCAGCTAATTGAGAAAACAATTATGCCTCATTATGCCTAGAGACAGATATTGCTTTGGAGCTGTATTAAACTATTGTAACTCAAACGGAGACAACCATGGCAGAAACCAAATTAGTGAGCATGGCAGAAACCAAATTAGTGAGGCAATCCCCTGCATTGAAATTCTGTTATAAGGTAGACACAGGATTGGTATGGGTTTTGAGTCTCCCTAAACTTTCATTTGTCTACTAAACTCCATTTTAGTATAAGGGTCCAACGCGTCCTTGTTTTAGAAATGGGTTGCACCCCAGCCCCATATAATTATCCCAATCCCCCTGAGTGTATGGAAATGTAGGCAAGGCAAGGCCCATCATGGACGCGTGAAACAAAAGGGTGTGCTTCAGCACCATGATGGACTCTCCTATTTGTCAAGGATGGTGGCCGATTCATGCCTTATATTCCTTTTTTAAAAAAATCTTAATGCAATCTCACAATAAACACCTGGAGAGCTGTACGCATACACACACACATTGTGGAAACACATGAAGTCATACACATAACATGCTCTCCTGTTGGCATCCAGCTTTGCATCTGTGTCTGTCTGTGTCACATTACATCTTCCTGATCCTCCCTGCTTAAAGCGACAGCAGGGGCTAAGCCAGAAAATGACTGTAATAGTGGAAAACTGTCTGTTAAGTAGTTTTTGTTAGAATTCCTAATCCATGATTGCAGTCATGGGATTTTTGTCTATCACATGACGGTCTATGTTTTGACTCCACAGAGTGAGAAGTGACGGAGACAGGATGTTTGTGTTACTGTGTTCCGTGAAGTGGGACTATTGTCCTTTGTCCTTTCACTTTTTTGCTGTCTGATGCTAGAGAGAGAGAGGGAGCCATGTTGCAGTGCTCCGTGTGTGTTTATATGTAAATAAAGTAGATTAGCCAAAATGCTGAATTGCTGGGGTCTGTTACGCAAACTGCGAACACTCTGCGGATCCCTAAGTGTGCTGGTGTCTGCTGGCATCGGTCGCTGTGATGTTTGGGCACAAGAAAGCTTTTGAAGCTCTCGAACGAACAACCAGGAGGGAGAGAACATGCCAGTCGGGCATGTGCTTCTGCCAGGGTCCTACTCGAGTGTAGGATGAGCTCCTGACAGTTTCATGGCCACAACTGCTTGGAGGAAGGAGGGAACCAAGTGTACCCTGTAAGCTTATCCCATCTCTTCACAGTCCTTCTAGGCAGCAGAGGGCAGGGACAGGGGCCTCAGGCTCCCCCTTCCCATCAGGAACAATTATCCACAGGGGGGATTTAAACCAGCCTTTGTCAACCCAGGGCCCTTAAGATGTTTTCTACCTACAGCAGCCCTCAGAGCACCGTCCATGCTGCCTGGGGCTGAAGGAGTAGCAGTGCAAAGCACCTGGAGGACCCAAGCTGGTGAAGGCTGTTTAATGTATGTCACATAGCACAAGCTTCTGGTAGACACAGAAAGTCCTTGTTGCCTGTGACACACTTTTGTGCAGTGTGTTCTCACAGCGTCCCTGCTGAGCGCTGTATTGGAAGTGCTAAAGTGGACAGCGATGGTTTGTAACTTCAAGCAGAGAGCAAAGCTGTTTTGTAATTGTTTAAAAACTAAGTTTCCATACAAAAATCAAGACCTGCTAGTGTAGACTATGCTAGGGTTGCCATATTTCAAAAAGTAAAGACCAGGACACCTTGAAAGTTGTTGAAAGGTTCTAAAGAATTAGAAAGCTGGGCAATTAGAAGGTTAACATTGAGACTACGACAACTGTAATATGCTGACTGGCGAAACCTATTAGCCAAGCAGGCTTGGCTACAGGAAACAGGCGGTTTCCTTACATCCTCTTCAAGCGGGTGTTGGGGGATGGAATAAGACAATTGCTGTGCAAAATCAATTCTCTTTTCAATTAACAACTACACTTTGGACCGTCTCCACACGATCGGGAATTTTGAAAGGTAGGATCTCTGAAATCTAAAATGTAATCTGTGCAAAGGGGTATAAACTGCAGTCTGATAGGTGTATTTATTTATTTATTTTTGTATTTCCACTTTATAGAATTTCATGGACCTCTAGCTGTTTGACTTTACTTTGCAGCAGTTCAGAAACCAAAGGAGCTTTCGCCTCTCCTTGTTTAAACAGTGCATTTCCACCCAATACGTTGAACTGAATCCAGATACATTCATTGAAAGGGCATGGATGTATAGTTTTGGTCCTTATTGCACTTAAAAGTACCACGTAATAATTTTTTTGAAATATCCTTGTGGTATGTGGGTTAATACTAGCAGCAGAAATAAAAAATGTGAGATGCAAAAGCATACATTTCCTGTTTTCTCCCCTCTACTTAATCTCTTAACTGCAGATGGGTATTTATACATTTTTTATTCCAATTTCTGAAATGAGAATAACCAAGAAAATATTAATAGAGTATGGCAACTGGTTGCCCATATGCCAATTCACTCCTGGGCAGAGGAAGACAAAAAATGAGTTCTATTGCTTGGCCTCTTCCATCTCCCCACGAGTCATTTTAGGCCTAGGAACACACAGAAAAGTATACGTGCTTCTACCTAGCCTTTCAGTGTTGACAAGTTAAAAAAAGGCAGGTGTGTGTTTATGGCATCCTTAGGGGGCAGGTGTAAGAAAGGAAGGTATTAACTCATGCGTTACTTCCCCACTTGCCTTCCCTGACACTTTCTAGCCTGGAAAGGTAAAAAAGGTGTTTGGTAGGTAGCTGATCATAAGGAACCCCATTTTGCACACACTTATGCTCTTTCCCACACATAAAATCAGGGAGGGGGAAGGACTACTTATGCCTAAAAGTCATGTGGCATGAGTGTGTGCTTGCCTCCATCCAACCCCATCTCCCTCTCCCTGCCTTCAAAATGGGTTACTTGCAAGGGTTAGTTGCCAAACATGAGTGTATAGTTCACCTTGTTGGAAGACTGGAAAAACAGTATATTCCATACAAAACTAAGCTGAAATATGTTTGAAAAGGGCCTGGGACACATGGGAAGCAGCAGGACATAATTTCCAAAGAATTGCAACTACCTAAGATCAGCACTGAACTCACTTAGATAAAACTCTTTCCAATAATGTAATTGTCAAGCTAAATCACATATACTGTGCTTCACCAAGGGAAGGGAAGGGAAGTAGTCTTCGGCCCCCACCCTTCTGCTACTACTGACTGGCGAAACATGTTAGCCAAGCAGGCTTGGCTACAGGAAACAGGTGGTTTTGGGCTGCTGAATGGGGGCGGTGGGGAGAGCCGTGCTCCTCTGCCGGCAGCCTCGGCTTCTCCCTCCCTTTTCTCACCAAACCTCCTTTCCCCCCTTTTTTTTCTCCAAACCTCCTTTCCCCCCTTTTCTCTCCAAACCTCATCCCCCCTTTTTTTCTCCAAACCTCCTTCCCCCTCCCTTTTCTCACCAAACCTCATTTCCCCTCCCCTTTTCCAATAATGTCATTGTCAAGCTAAATCACATATACTGTGCTTCACCAAGGGGAGGAAAGTAGTCTTCTGTCTAGAAGAGATCAGGAGGTTCATAAACTGTTTGATTCTGCCTTGAGGAAGATGTTTTGTTAAGGAAAGATGGCACATTGACTGTGTGTAGAATTTTTTTGAAAGTATTTGGGAACGTTCCAAGGTCTGATTCTGCCTTTGTGATCTGTTCTTCCATTCCTGACACACTATTTCCGACCATTTTTACAAAGGCCTCCAGTTTGTCGATCTTTCTATACAGTTGCTTCATTTCCATTGCCTTTGCATGAATATGAGGCACACTTTCACTTACTACTTGAGAGGAATCACTTCGAATCATGTCTAGCATCCCCACAAACTCATCCACTCTGGTCACTCTGGTTGGGGCGACTCCTCCCAGCGGTGAGGGCAGCAGGTACCCGGCGTAGTCTGCCGCGGCCGAGGTCAGCAGCAGTTCCGCTCCACAGGCATCTCCTTCGGCCACGTTGTCTTCTTCCTCCTCCCCCATCCCAGAGGCGCTGCTGTAGCTCTGAGAGATATAGCTGCCATCGCCGCTCAGCTGCCGCCTCATCTATCCGGCCCCCACCCTCGTGCTACTACTCTCAGCCCACGCGCATCGGGAAGCCAACCTGATAGGTGTCATGTTGAACAATATGTCTGGAGACTTTCAAATAAGCACATATCTTTTGGATGTGTCCTGTAAACCTCACCCACGTGGGCGAACAAGTGCCCTGACCCTAGAACCAGATTACTGGAAAGACGCTGATGGAGAAGGATACACAGGGCCAGACCCAAAGTGCTTCTGAAAGACCAGCCTGTGATGGCAGTGCCCCATCCTCAGAGGACTTGACTGAGGATCATATAGAGTCCCTTGCTCTGTAAAAGTAAAAGACTGTTGAAGCCGACTGGGGTCTTTAACTGTAATGGCACCTTCCAGTGAATGCAGGCTAGCAACAGAGATAGGGCTGCTATATAAACCTCAGTCTCCATTTGTTGCTTCCTGAAGCAGCATCAGACCAGTGATGCCCTAGACCCAGAGTAATGTCTGAGCCCTACCTCCAGCCCCAGAGCTTCACCTCTCTTCAGGTCCTGACCTGCCCTCTGGCCTCCCACTGGACCCTGCTCCAGTCACCAGGGCCTGCCCATTCCTGCTTCTGGCCCAGCGCTGCTTCCAGGTATCTGGGGGCCCCATTGACAGGCTTCTGCCTCCAAGAACCCTCAGATGCCAGCCCGGGCCCTGCCCCTGCCTTTTGCCCAGGACCAGTGCTTGCTTCACAAGCTGGCCCATCAGATACTCCCCATTGCGTGGCTAGTTCCTGCCTCCCCCGAGGAAATAAAGACACAGGACACAAGAATTCAGGTTAATGGGTCAAATTAGGCCACAACTTTATTGATTACAGGAATTGAGCGGTATTGGCTTAGGCATTGGTCCTAACCATTAACCAGCTAGAGGCCGGAAGGGTTAATCACAAGAGGGAGGAGTCCTGCTGAGGCACGTCAACTAGGACCTCCCCCTGACGTCACCGCATGGGGGCGTGCCGTGGGCCCACACCTCCTTAGGCTTAGGACAAGGCTACGCCCCCTGGAATCCTTTACTGGACTACCCTTGCTTGGGGGAAGTTGATGGCGCTCCTTCCCCCTTCATTTGCATAACAATAGAACAGTACCCCACCAATGCCTAACCGCCAATACCGAAGAGTTGTGACGGTTTGCTACGAGGTAGGAGAAAACCAAATGGCTGGAGCCAGCCCCCGCAAAAGTGGGGAAGGGGCATGATGCCCGAAACCCCACCTCCTTTTCTTTATTGCGGAAGTGGCTTTCTTTGAAAAGAACAGCAAAGACATTATAAGAGATAATAATACAATATTTATTTAAGATGAACACATGCATAAAGAATACAGAAGGATCTATTGCAGAATTATTTGATTAATTGTATATATAACTGAAAAAATAATTGACTGATTTTGAAAAAAAATGCAGTGTATATTTTTATAGATCACAAAATAAATTGGTTTGACACAATGTACCAGTATTCATTTCTAATTCCAGTACGATTGGATTATGATCTGCATATTTAGCTTTGTTGATATCCATGCCAATGCCAATAGTTTGTATTATTTCTGCCTTTTTTACATAGCTTAGTAAGGGTTTGGAGACAAAAAAAATATCTATCCTGGATGAAGTTTTATGCCGATGAGAGTAGAACGTATATTCTCGTGTATCAACATGATGAAATCTCCACACATCTACCAGGTCAAAATTATTAATCAAATCTTCCATTGCTTTGCATAAGGTTGATCTGTTGTTTTTGGGATCCGTTGATCTATCTTTAGCTTCTGACATTACAAAATTCATATCTCCTCCAATAATCCATTTCGCGGCATCTTGTCAAAACTTGTCATGATTCTGTATAAGTAACTGAAAAATTCAGTTCTATTATTGTTTGGAGCATATATATTAGCTATGTTATATCTATTGTTTGGAGCATATATATTAGCTTCATTTACACAGACTTGAATCATCATGACTCTGCCTTTATACTTTCCCTCTGTTTCTTCATATATCTTCTGTATTTCAATTTTACTTTCGTTTATATACATTGCTGTTCCTGCTGAGTCTGAAGTGCTAGCTGAAGCAATAAGTTTGCCCAATCTTATATCACGTAATAAATATTCACGGTACTTTCCAATGTGTGTTTCCTGAAGCATGATTACATCAGCCTTTTCTTTACATAGATTCTCGAAAATTCTTTTTCGTTTCTCAGAACCGTTTAAACCTCTTGTATTGACAGAAAACATTTTGATTGAATTCATCTTCAATATTTTTATGGCTATTTTAAAGCAGAGTACTCTTCAAATCTCTCAGCTGTTGACTGTTCAGGTCTCTCGAAGCAGAATGAAAGTTGGCGAATGCAGCTCGTTTTATATGCTGTTTATTTAGCCCCACCCACCCAATACCACGTTGTGGTCAGTGATTGGTTAAATTTGCTCTGATGATTTGACGTAACATGGAATTTTCTAGTCACCTTAGAAATCGAAAACTAGTGCCCTAATTTCGACATCACTCGTTTTACTTAAATTCCAGCCTGATGTTTGACTCTTGCGCTGTTATTTTTCTGCCCTGTTTGTTTTTGTGCATCCTCTTAAGTTCTCCTTTTGGCTATTTCCAGCCACTGTACTTATACTAATGTAAACTTCTATTATTACCATGCTTTTGTGCGAATTTTATTTTATGTTTATGAGATATTTTATACTGTGATCCCAACATTCCTCAACAGGGATCCTACTACTCTTTCCACCATCTGAATCAAGTATTTAAAAAGTAGGCATGTTCAAATAATTTGAAAGGTTTTTAAAGCTACAACTACAACAGAATTTATAGAATAAGAAATAACACAAAGGAATAAAGAACACATACAAAGACCAAGTGTTTCTTGCTTGTCTTCTGCTTCTCCCCCATTCCAGATCTTATCCTGTCTCCCTACCACTTTTATCTATCTGAAATAACCCTTGCTCACCTTTCCCTATCTCCATCCAATCAGGAGTGTTTATTTCTTTTTAAAAACATTTTTATTAAAGTTTTTCATAATACAATAACATATAGAAAATTAATGTAAATTTAAAAAAAACTTACAAAAAGTTCAAATAGAATAAGTAGACTATGGAGTCCTCTCTTAAATGTAGTTCTTAACCCATGCCACCCACAGCCCCTGCCAGCTCTTTCCATTCTCCTCCCAGCCTCTCACCCTAAGAGGCCAACATTTCCCTGCCTCCCACCCAGGGTCCCTCCATCAACCATCTATCACCCCAGGAGTGTCTGTTTCTGAGAAGCACCTCAGATCTTTGTCTATTCCTGTGATAACTCCTCACCCAGTTCCTTGTCTTGCTGCTTCTGTTCGATAAGCAGACTTGATCCTTTAGCACAAAACACCATGCCCTGACCCTAAATTCCTCATTTAGACACCCACCACACTGTCCTGAAGATGAGGAATTCTGTTCTAGGGTCATGGCACTTGTTGTCCCATGTGGGTGAGGTTTACAGGACACATCGGCAAGACCTGTGCGTATTTGAAAGTTTCCAGACATAAAGTATACCGTATTTTTCGTTCTATAGGACGCACCCGACCAAAGGACGCACCTAGTTTTTAGAGGAGGAAAACAATAAAAAAAATATTCTGAAACAATTGTTGTATAAACTACTGTATTGAATAAACAACCGGTATATCAGAATCATATTACAGCCATGTAAAGTGAACAGCAGTCAACAATGGCATTAAGAACCATCATCACTGTCATTATGAAATGAAGAGCGACTTTAAGGTTTGAGTACTCTTCTAGTCTTCTGTGAGCCCCAAGAACTCATCACTGCTAGAGTCAGAATTTATGAAGCTCAGTTGCTCACAATCACTGACATCACTTTCTTCGCTATCTTCATGTAAAATACCATCTTCCTTTCCATCCGAAGCATTGCTAATGCCACATTTTTCCTCTCCGTCCTCTTCCTCCCCTCTCTCAGCGAACAGCCTGCCCACTGCACCAAACCTTGAGGGGGAGGGCAGGCTGCTGGCAGAGCAGCACCCACCCCCATTCAGCAGCCCAGGAGCGTGGGGCAGGCTGCCTACTGCTCCAAACCTTGAGGGGGAGGGCAGGCTGCTGGCAGAGTAGCACCTCCACCCCCATTCAGCAGCCCAGGAGCGCGGGGCATGGGCGCACATCCCTCCCGCTGCTCCAAAGCTTCCTGGGGCTGCAGGGGGAAGCCGAGGCTGCCCCGGCAGAGGAGCGCAGCTCTCCCCACCGCCCCTATTCAGCAGCCCGAAACCGCCTGTTTCCTGTAGCCAAGCCTGCTTGGCTAATAGGTTTCACCAGGCAGCGTATTACAGTTGTCGAAGTCTCAATGTTAACCTTCTAATTGCCCAACTTCCTAATTCTTTAGAACCTTCCAACAACTTTCAAGGCGTCCTGGTCTTTACTTTTTGAAATATGGCAACCCTAGCATAGTCTACACTAGCAGGTCTTGATTTTTGTGTGGAAACTTAGTTTTTAAACAATTACAAAACAGCTTTGCTCTCTGCTTGGAGTCACAAACCATCGCTGTCCACTTTAGCACTTCCAATACAGCGCTCAGCAGGGACGCTGTGAGAACACACTGCACAAAAGTGTGTCACAGGCAACAAGGACTTTCTGTGTCTACCAGAAGCTTGTGCTATGTGACATACATTAAACAGCCTTCACCAACTTGGGTCCTCCAGGTGCTTTGCACTGCTACTCCTTCAGCCCCAGGCAGCATGGACGGTGCTCTGAGGGCTGCTGTAGTAGAAAACATCTGAAGGGCCCTGGGTTGGCAAAGGCTGGTTTAAATCCCCCCTGTGGATAATTGTTCCTGATAGGAAGGGGGAGCCTGAGGCCCCTGTCCCTGCCCTCTGCTGCCTAGAAGGACTGTGAAGAGATGGGATAAGCTTACAGGGTACACTTTGTTCCCTCCTTCCTCCAAGCAGTTCTGGCCATGAAACTGTCAGGAGCTCATCCTACACTCGAGTAGGACCCTGGCAGAAGCACATGCCTGACTGGCATGTTCTCTCCCTCCTGGTTGTTTGTTCGAGAGCTTCAAAAGCTTTCTTGTGCCCAAACATCACAGCGACCGATGCCAGCAGACACCAGCACACTTAGGGAATCCGCAGAGCGTTTCGCAGTTTGCGTAACAGACCCCAGCAACTCAGCATTTTGGCTAATCTACTTTATTTACATATAAACACACACGGAGCACTGCAACATGGCTCCCTCTCTCTCTCTAGCATCAGACAGCAAAAAAGTGAAAGGACAAAGGACAATAGTCCCACTTCACGGAACACAGTAACACAAACATCCTGTCTCCGTCACTTCTCACTCTGTGGAGTCAAAACATAGACCGTCACGTGATAGACAAAAATCCCATGACTGCAATCATGGATTAGGAATTCTAACAAAAACTACTTAACAGACAGTTTTCCACTATTACAGTCATTTTCTGGCTTAGCCCCTGCTGTCGCTTTAAGCAGGGAGGATCAGGAAGATGTAATGTGACACAGACAGACACAGATGCAAAGCTGGATGCCAACAGGAGAGCATGTTATGTGTGTGACTTCATGTGTTTCCACAATGTGTGTGTGTATGCGTACAGCTCTCCAGGTGTTTATTGTGAGATTGCATTGAGATTTTTTAAAAAAAGAATATAAGGCATGAATCGGCCACCATCCTTGACAAATAGGAGTGTCCATCATGGTGCTGAAGCACACCATTTTGTTTCACACGTCCATGATGGGCCTTGCCTTGCCTACATTTCCATACACTCAGGGGGATTGGGATAATTATATGGGGCTGGGGTGCAACCCATTTCTAAAACTCGTTGGACCCTTGCACTAAAATAGAATTTAGTACACAAATGGAAGTTTAGGGAGACTCAAAACCCATACCAATCCTGTGTCTACCTTGTAACAGAATTTCAATGCAGGGGATTGCTTGCTTATCCATGCTCACTAATTTGGTTTCTGCCATGGTTGTCTTAGTTTGTCTAATAAAGGTGAACAACTTTATAATGCTCTCCTAGTCCTAGCACGGTAGTAAAACTGCTAGCACATTTGCAAAGCTAAGCAGTGCCTGCTATGGTTTCAAATTGGATTTGGTACTGCAATCTTGAGATTCCTACATTACATGGGGTTGGACTAGATGACCCTAGGGTTCCCAACTCTACGAGTCTATGATTCCCAAGAGTTTTCGTTGGAACACGCTCCGCTTCATCAGAACGTGGAAGTGGACTGAAGTCCAAGGGACCTTATGATGGGTGCCGTCACAAGCCACTTCTTTCTTTTGCTACAACAAACTGACACAGGGCTGCCCGTTAATTTGATAATTCAGTGAGTTTGTCTTCTCGGTTTCCGGAGTCCGGCGCTTCTCTCGGCAGTTCGGTTGCAACTGAGCCGCTTTCCCAAAGCTGTTCCTCTCGAGACGTTTCCGGACTACAACTCCCATCATTCTTGGCTATGACGTCCTGCCTAGCCGGGGCTTAAGGGAGACGCAGTCCTATCACGGCTCTATGGTTAGAGTCGCAAGCGGTCGCGCAGGAAGTGATGCATTACGTCAGCGCCAGCCGAGGTTCGATGTTCCTGGGCTGAAGAAGAGCCCTCGTGCGTCGCTGAGGAGGTTCCGAAGCAGCGACGATGGCGCCGGGTGGGCAAGCAGCGGGCGGCGGAAGCAGCTCCAGCGCGGTGACGCCCGAGGGGCTGCGGGGCTGGATCCGGGGCGCCTACCGCTTCGCCACAGACCGCAGTGACTTTCGCAGGTGGGAGGAGTATTGGTACGAAGGAGCTTTAGTCTCCTTCCAGGGCGGTGGGTCGGGGAGGGAGGAGGCAGCCGGAGCAGGGAGAGCCGCCCCGGGCTGTGCGGTGTCTCGCTTGGCCTGCCGTGAAGCACGGGGGGCCTCGCGTACTGTGCGGATGTACAGGTCACTCCAAAGTTAATGCGCGGCTTGACGTTCACGGTTTTAAAAGGGCCTCGTGAGGGGTCCTGTAGCTGGCCAAGTGAAAAACAGATTAGGTGTGTCTGAAGGGTTCCGACTCGCCTCAGCACATTTCGTTTTCTGTTTCATAGCTTCGTCTCTTCAGGGTTTTTAATTTTTTAAAAACAACATATTTTTTTTGTTTTTTTTCAAAATAAAGTGGAATACACCCCCCCATCTAACATCACCCCCTTCGCACCCTCAAAAAACATAGCATTTTCAGTGTTGAAAAGGCTTCCCCCAATAAAGAGGAACTAAGGAACAAACGAGCATTAAACAAAAAGCCAAAACATCTCTTTAGGTTCTCTGCCCATACAAAATCTACTCCCAGGATCCCTTGCCCTTCTGCTTATCCTCATTTTTCCAGAAATTGCATTTGCAATTTTTCTCAGACAGCACTTTTTATGTCCTCTGGCTCTGCGAGTTTTGAATCCATTCTGAGCATAATTGAAGCAATTTAGCTTGAGAAATATTAGTATGTAGTACCCATAGGAAAACTCAACCCTGAGTTCTGGATTACACTAGCTAAATGCAGCCTCACCTCCAGAGAAACTTGTGTAGTGAGGAAGCACTTCTACTGCACTTTGGTTAAGGCAGGCAGTTTTGAATAGAACTGTTAGTAACATGGCTAGCCCTTCATGCTGCTATATATAGTGCAGTTCTGTGGATGTCTTGTCAGATGTCAGTCCCACTGAGTTCAGTGGAATGATTGCAGTAAGAATGTTATATATATATCTGGTATTTGCGTCTCTAGGCCAGAAATCCAGCAGAATTGTGCATAAATTTTGATATTAGCTACCAGTTTTCAGACTCTTAACCCTACTTTGTATTTGTTTCAGGAACCTCATAGTTAACCTGGGTCTCTTTGCAGTGGGAGTTTGGGTAGCTAGAAACTTAACAGACATCGATTTGATGGCACCACAGCCTCCTGCATAGCAGAAACGGTGAGTAGCCAGGATTGTGGAAATAGTGCAGATTGTATATACCCTCTTAATTTGTCTCATCGCAATCAGATCAATAGTTAAGAGAAGGATTGAATAAATAGGACCCTGCTTTTCTGTGCAAACTCAGGCCTCATGAGGGTCACCCTTTCATTCTGGATGAAAGGAAAATATTTTCCTAATCCAGGCATAGGCAAACTCGACCCTCCAAATGTTTTGGGACTACAATTCCCATCATCCCTGACCACTGGTCCTGCTAGCTAGGGATCATGGGAGTTGTAGTCCCAAAACATCTGGAGGGCCGAGTTTGCCTATGCCTGTCGTAATCTAAAATTGGAGTGAGAACTTGCTTCCTAAAGTTGAAAAACATCAGAAATGGAAGAGCTACAGGAAACTGTCATGAAAAGCTTCTTTATCCAAAAATCACATTCCTGTTCTAGAACAGGGTTGAGGAGCCTTTTTGGCTCCACCCTATGGACCAGCTTTGACAGGTGGACAGGCAGGCCATGCCACATGATTGTCAGGTGGGTTGCCCCTCCCACATCAAAATCACTTGCACTCCCTGTGATTCCATCTGAGCATGATTGGGGGTGGGGGGTGGCTGAGCGCTCTTTACAGGGATTTTCTCCTCCTCTTTTAAGTCAGTCCCTACTCTCCTGTACTCGGATGCGATTGTGGGGACTGAGTGCGAGAGCAAGAGCTGAGCACTCTTGCAGCACCCTGGGGTGATATTTTAAAAGGTGGCAGAAACTGCTGCAGAGTGCCTGATTGCTCTCTTAGGCCCAGTGATCAGCAGAATCAGCTCCTCTCCTGATGGGGGAGGGAGTGATCTTGCTTCCTGTTGAGGTTGGGCATACCCAAGAGCTTCCCGTAAGGAGTTGTCTGACAGGCCCATACTCAGCAGGATTGCTCTCCCTTTGCATTGGCTGATGTGTAGGGAGAGCTCTCCTTCTTCATATTGGGTCCCCACTTTGTGCATTGCTTCAAAGGCTCTGGACAACCAGCAGTTTGTCAAGCCCTTTGGGAGCTTCACAAAGTGGCTTTGGGAAAGCCACCCTTACCCAATTGTCATCAAGGGTAGGGCATGTGGGTGGGGCGTGCACAAAATGTACTCGTGGGCCAAGCCCAACACACAGGGTGGAGGTCCCCCACTCTAGAATGTAATATTACCCCCAGAAAAGATCCAGAACAGGCATAGGCAAACTCTGGCCCTCCAGATGTTAGGGGCTACAATTCCCATCATCCCTAGCTAACATGACCAGTGGTCAGGGATGATGGGAATTGTAGTCCCAAACATCTGGACGGCTGGAGTTTGCCTATGCCTGATCTAGAACTTTCATAGTCTTGAAACTTGTGATTGCTATTATTTTAAGCATTCCGAACTTCATGGATATTTCCACAAATGTTTGTATTTCGATAGAGTTAATATGACATAGGGTTCCCTGTGTAATTTGCTTTAAACAATTCAAAGCATGATATTTTTAGTTCGCTTTATAGTCAGTCATTTTCAAGCAAGGAGAATAAATTGAAATAAATTTCTATCAGATAATTTTGTAGCCATGGCTGAAACTGTTGAATATGTTTAGACTTCTGTTACATAAATTAGACTGACAGTTCCCAAACTATTCTGAAAACTTGTTGCACCTTAGGTTGAGCTATGAAAACACGGTTTATATTTCTCTAAGCTTTGTTTTATTTTATGTTTCACCTGCCTGAGTTTGTCTGGGGGGGAATATATTAAATACTTCCTAAGATTTTGTGTTTGTAAATTATTGTTAGTATTTGGATAACTTCTGTATCAACTTTTTTATTACAATGTACATCAAACTATGTTGCATCTTTCCTTAAAATAAGTGGACGTGAGCTGTATCTGCCAAATTTCCCTGCAAGGTGTGATTTCTTGGAAGACCAAGTGCACAGAGTTTTCATTTTTTTACCCATACAGTTCCAGTTCAAACTTAGCATGTTGTGATTAGATATGGAATTGTTAAAGCAAATTTGGGTGTTTATGTTGCCTTTGGATACAGAGGATGATGATCACAGTGAGAATAGACCTACTGAAATAAATGAACTTAAGTCCCTTGATTTGATAGGCCTATTTTCAGTATGCTTTAGACTGGTATCACTCTTCAGATTTGTTTTATGTTCCTTCTGCCACATAGCTAGTTTGAAATGACAGCTGTGTTGCACAAGGTATTAATAGTTTATGGGGCCCTGTCCACTTATTGGAAAAGCTGTATGTTGTTCACTTGTGTAGTAGCCTATCATCTTAGACGGCCATCTTTTCCTTACAGATGTGAATGAAGTAGATCTGCATGAAGTCTGAGTTTCCCTCTTGCTTTGTGACCAAATGAATTGATTCATCACTGAGTTGATTAACATGGGATGTTATCTGCAATGCAGCTTCTATTGAAGCAATTGGAGGCATCAGCATCGTGAGTGAAGGACTAGAGAAAACACCAAGGCAACAATTTACCTGTACCTTTTTATCATGTTCACTTCAGTCGCTTGGGAGCACTATTGAGTCCAATTAATGTTGTACCTTCTGTTCTATTTTTGCCAGAAAATATAAGTTCTTTTGCAGATGGAATCAACTTATGTACCAAGAGTTTAACAGATTCTGAAGTGTGAAATAAAGACATGCCAATGCATTGGGCTTTTTCATTTTAATAGGAAATTTCAGCTTACAAAAACAAGGTAAAAAGAGTAAAGATTTACAAAAATCATAAAAACATGATTCATATTTCACACTTAAAGAAGTAACAAGCCCCAGTCCTGTGTTTTTAAGTAGGACATGTTAACTATTCAAAGGGAAAATACATTTTTAAAAGGCCAAGGTGACCCTTTACTTATGAACAGTTTTCAGCCAGCATAAAGAGTTGTGTGGTATTGTAATTATGATGGTCTATTGTATGTGGAAAAGGAACTGTTTGGTGTTGCATAGCATTTTGGTGTCTTGGACTGCTCTATAATGCCTCTGAGGTTACGGGAAACCACTTGTTAATTTTTTTTTTTAATCATATGGGCTGGAACGCTGTTGGTCTTGTAGAAGAATGTCATCATTACAATGTGTCTCTTTAAAGTTCCCTTTAACAATAGATTTGTGTTTGTTCATTAGAGCCACCCATTCCTCCTTCCCATATGGAGATAAAAGGTAGTTGAATCCTAAGGAGTTAATGAGACTTCAGTTGCCACCAAGGGGGAATGAAATCATTGGCCCTGTGGGGATGGTGTCTGCCCAAGTCCTATGACACATATTCTTGAGTAGAAAGAACATATTATTCAGTATATTTAGCAAAAATTCCAACTTACAGTTTTGTACCTGTTTATAACACACCTCTTGATCCTTTTTATTTATAAACTATTAAACCCAGTTCAATACAAAATGTAAAAGATGAGTAGCTGTGTTTCAGTAACATTTATGCAGTGAGTGGGTAAAATCAGTTGCTCATATATCGATCTGTCCTCCATCACTACGTACCTCCAACCCCTTTGGAGCTGAGGCAGTCTTAACCATTGCCTGAGCCCGGCTAAGTGATCAACACCAAACAATCAGTAGCTACAAGTATAACTGCAGTCAGCATTGCCTTAAAGTTCCCCTGCAAATTACTAGTAGCCATAAATCTGCATTTAAGACAAAACTCTATACTTTTTTTACTATACCTTAAATTTCTGCTAAAATAATGTAATCAGAAGTGTATAGCTTTGGGGAGCTGTGGCAAATTTAAGTACCTATGTAAAGAACTTTTGTGAAATAGAGATTATACTACTGTAAGGAGATCTGATTTTGTGCATGTTAAAATTCTGAAATCTAATCAAGAATTTTCAGAACACTTGTTTTAAAAACATTTTGTGGTGACCATTTTTAAAAGTAGTGGCAGAAATTTGTTCTCGTTTTCTGGCTAGACTTACACACTCATCTTCAGTGGAACTTGTTTCTGTGTACATGTGATTCGGTTTACATTTTGAGGTGCAACCAGTGCCCACTGTGCACTGCATTTGTTATAAGTGAACTTAAGCATAGCAGAGTTTCTTTTAATTCAAGATTTAGTTATAGTAATCTACTTTTGCCTTTGAAAGCTGGACCAAGCAAAAACGCCTAAAATTATGCAATTCGGTAACATAAAATTTCTTTGCCAAATATGCTGTAGTCAACCATGAGGCCTATACATGCTTCTGGTAAAGACCATCTCTGCCACTGGTGGTTAAATAAGAGGCTGACAGTACTGACTGATGGGGAATGGGACCAGATGCCCTTACCAGTGGGTGGTGGAGGCTGCTAGCTCAGTGCTGTGTGCCTGCACAGTGCTGATCTCCAGCTCACATGCCCTCTGCTGCCAAGGTTGTCAAGTCCCTTCCCCCCAGTGGACATGATACACCATACATTACATCACACATCTATGATATCAGAAACTGTCAATGGGATCTAAAAGCCTTTTCAAGTTTTGCAAGTTTGATTACAAGATGGTGCTTTCCTTGAATATTGAACAGCTTGCAAGCTCTAGTTCTAAGCATTAATTTTTTCCTAAGTCTTGTTTCATTGACACTGTTTGGAGTATTAGTTATTTTGGATTGAATGAAGTCAAAAGAAAATAGAAGCTGAAAGACACACAAAGGTGCTTGGTTGCAACCGTAAAGATGAGAATTGTACATTGAAAGCTGAGGCTTTCACACCTGTTTTGTGCAGTAGCGAACAGGACACCTAACTATATAGGCAGTGGGAGGATGGATACAAGGTGTGTGTGTGTGTGAAATGGGAAGGTGAGGCTACTTCCACTCTTTATCAGTGCACTTAAAACATGGCAATCCTAGCTTGATTTTAAATTCAGTTGATGCTACTTGTATACGGCCAATATTTTCTATGAAAAGAAAGCATAATTTTTCTGCAATCCAATGTACAGTATCATCATTGCTATGTTTAGCATTTCTCTTTTTCTGACATCCACATGACCTGAACTGAATTTGGAGGCCACACTTATGCTTACACCTAAATAGTTCCAGTGCATTCTGCACTGTAAGTCTGTCAGACTTAGGCTGATTGAAGATGTGCTTGACAATGCAGCAGTGACCATATGCCTTTATCTTACTTGAGGTGCTGTATTTAAGGATAACGGATATTGCTAGTTAAACTAGATGCTAGGCATGATATCATGAAACAATGTTCACTGGATTCTATTAAGCACCTTTACATATAGATGTTTAGCTTCAAGCACTCATACGTATCATATACTATCTGTATAAAGATAGGACTGTTTGTCCTCCCAGGAACTGGAAATGGAAAGAAGCAGTACCATGGTAGAAGAGAACGGATGTCTTTGCAAGGCACCAGTCAGCAATTTCATAGCCTTTTCCAAACTGCTTTGTCAACAGATTGCTCCAGGCATTCTTAACCTTTCACACCAAAATTATGACGTACTTGCTTCAAGAGGAATAATCCTAATTTGAAAAAACTTTTTACTGACAAAGATTTAACACAAAAACCAAAATTATGATCTACTTTTGAGCAAATCATTTGCATTATTAGAAATACAGTCTTTAGACACATACAGTAAAATACATCAAGTTGCTGGTAGGAACCATTTTTCCCATTCACATACAGATATGAAATGTAAAAAAGCCAATACTACTAAAGTATTGTAAAGACACAAATTTGGGGGGGGGGAGAAAATTAAACTTGTGTCCCATGCAAAATGTAATTAGATACAAGGCACCAATTTTTTATCTTAAAAAAATTGTTCACAAAGCTTTATCGGTAGGCAAAACTAATCCCACAACTTTCACCCCATTCATACAAATTTTCAGTCAGCAATACTGTTTAAATGTGGCTGCAGTTTGTGTTGGGGATAATTTGCTGACATTCAAAACTCATTTTCTCCTATCACACATACCTGGCACACAAAGCATATTAGTAAAATGGATCTTTACAATCAGAAAGAGACAACATGTATGTTTTTAAAGTTCTCCTTGTGAGTCCATAGGACACATTTAACACCAATTTTTTTTGTAAGGTTTAACTGATAGGCGTGTTATAGTTTCCCTGAAGTGCATGCACACACCTAGGGCAATATCTAATGCTTGTCATACCTGGAGAAGACCCACTGCTCCAAGGATGACTTGCCACTGGATATCACCTCTATAGTTCAAAAGCAAAGAAAAATAAGCATCTGCACAGTTCAACTTTGCAGTATAACAGTGAGTCGTTTGCTAGGATACTCTTCAAATCAACTTGTTTGCTTTGTAAAGTTAGGACTATTTCCCCAGTGCCTGTAGGAAACTTCTGATATAAAAGGATTCCATTAATATTTCCCCCTTTCTGCACAAATTTAAAGAACAAGTTAGTTGGTTGAAATTTTATATTTAAAATATGAAGGAACAAGTGAATAAATCGGCCTCTGTCCTCTGCCTTTATTTTGGGGTTGCAGAGATACAAGGGGGAACCCATTGTTATACTTAATATGGACCTGTCACTGAAAATAGCAATCCCTTGTGGAGTATTTTCCCATACCCCTCAGTAACATTTAGGCACACCCATCCTCATGACATCATTGTACGTCCCCGTCCCCCCATTGCTGGGCCAAGGAAACTGTGCTGTCACACCTTAGGTTGTGTGCCGAAATGTAGTGATAGGGGGAATATTTGACCTGGGGACGCCATTTTTGTCAAGGGCAATGTCTAAATCTGCCTTCAGTGAGAGGAAGTGGGCAGTAATTCAAGTGGTCCAAATTTGATGAAGACCATTAGTTCCTATTTCAAAGCCTTTTAGTTCAGATCACTTCCTGCTTGCACTTCCACAGACTTCTAAGACCCAGAAATCTTACATCAAGCTAATAAAACCCTTAGCTAGCCTAATAAAGACTCATTTTCAAAACTTGATGTACTGAATTGCTCCGTTATTCTTAAATTTTTTGTAGCTAGTTTTAGCTATCGACACACAACTAGTTTTGCTCTGTTGATAACGGGAACACTTGTTATACCCAACTTATTCGTGTATGTATACTCTTATAGCCGGATCCTAAACATGTTTACTCAGAAATAAGTCTCACTGCTCACTGAGTTAAATGGGCTTGCTTCCTAACAGGCATGTTTAGGAACATAAATGTTAAAGTAAATTGAATGATTTCCATGGGTTAGCAAATGTGGATGTGCTTTTGGTCATCTCCTACAAGTACACGGTGGCTCTTGGGAGAAGCGAAGCACCTTTCAGTGCTAAACGTTTTTCAGGGTTTAACACATATGCAACAAAGGAGCTGAATGCTAGGAAAATTAACACGGGAAGGTTAACTGATTGGTTATTCTGTTAGGCTTCTTTGTAATGGTAAGATATGGAACTATTAAGAATGCCAATTGTTATCACATTTTCTGTCAACCAGGACACTTTAAAACAGTGTACAGCTTAGCAAGAGCACTGCTAGCAGTGGACAGATATAAAAGAAACAGCATAAAAAATGCTATACGCTATCGCTTCCAAATAAAAGCTAATTATTACAGAAACCTCACAGTGTTGGAAACAGCAAGCACAATTCAAAAGCACAGTTCCTTCTTTCCCTATCCAGGTAACTTTCAATTGCACTCATTTCCACATCTCGTGCCACCCCATTAATCACATGAGGGGCAAGTACTGTCCAAATCTGCTTAGGAAACACAAAGCATTCATGGTACCCATACGACCCTCCCAACTACACTATGCATCTAATTTAGGCATCAGCTGCACCTACTCAAAAACTTAAAAGATGTTTGAAATACCCAGTCAAAAGATGAGTATTAACAGTAGGCTTGCCAGCTCCGCCATCAAACTCTAGCTATACCTTTAACAGCAGCTTGATGTGGAGGCAACAGTAGGTGATAGTGTTTATCTTCATGCTGTGAAAAGCTCCACATCTATTGTCTGCACATCAAGTTGCTACTAATGATCAGTTAGGCTGCGGTCAGTTGGCAGCCATACTACTGAGAAATCTGGTTTCAGAGCTGCATTCAGTAGTGGGTGTTGCAGGTGGGGTTGCATTGCTTTCCTGGCTCCCAAATACAGCAGTGCTGTCACGTACTGGGAGGGGAAGCGGCAAGGCAGTGGGGAGCTCAGCACTGTGCACAGGAGCCCTGTTGCCATGCCCTGTTGTTTTGCTGCCTCCTCGTGGTAAATGGCAGCGATGCAGTCTTTGGAAGCCAGAATAGCAATGCAGCCCCATCTGGTACTGCAGTGCTGCATCATGATTTGTAGGGATTCAGCTTTCTATATTTAAAAACACTGTTGTGTCTGCTTTCAATACAACGAGTACGAGCTGAGCTTCATTAACTGAATTTCTTACCAAGGATGCTTGCCGATAGAACTTTCTGGAGTATCAGACATGCTGATCCAGTACACCTGAACTTTTTACTACCAGTCCAAACAGCAGACGAGTGTCTACTGGAATCAGTGTGTGCTGCACAGTCCCAAATCATGGCTGTGTGTAACAAACCCCTGCTACTTTCTCCCTACTTCCAATGCAAGAAGGGGTAAATGCTTAGATTTTTGTCATTTTAGTAAACTTGCCATTTACTAATATCAGGAGGCTATCAATGGACTTGGAAAGATGGGTTCACAGTAGCCACAGAAAGCAAGAAAGCACTTGAGAAAAACTTGTGCACACCAGACACCTGTCCATCTTTTTTAGATCCATTTCCCCCAGAAATTTCTAATTTACATTGAAAGCTGAATCCTATACTGAGCAGAAGCTCCTGTGGCAAGACTATCTTCAGGAATTTTGAAAAGACCTGTGCTCTTCTCCAGAATTGTTTACTGAAATGCATGTGTTCTGCTCTAACAGAGGAACCCTGTAGCAGATAAACACTGATATTTGATCATTACAATTGCAGGATTAGATTTCTCAAATTTTGTGAAGCTCAGCATCCATATCAGAGTCAAACTTCACCTGATTTACAATGATGCTGCACTGATTTCTGTCACAATTTAACTGGCCTATTTCTTATGAGCAGTTGGGGTATGATTTCTTGATACAACTGGTGGCAAAAAAGAGCCCCGAAAGCCTAGTTACAAACCCAAGGAAAGTTATCTTTATCTTTGTTAATACACAATTGTGGGATTTTTATGCTATGGTATCAATATTTCCAAGTTCCAAAGCAACAAGTTGTTTGTTTAGCCACACAGAGTCCTGTCCTTTCTACAGAGATGAAACAGTGGTAATAATTAAGGTCAGCAAGAGCTCTTAATGGTAATTCAACATAGGGTAGCATACTAATGAATTGTTACATCTTCTTCATGTGCATGTGACTAAGCATACTGTGATGACAAACACTCACAGTTTGGAGCTAGTTTTCTGGGGGTTAGAGAAGAGAATGAGGATGGATACCCTTCCTATTGCCCCCAAAAAATGCTACGAAAGGGAGGATGTTGACAAAATTCAGGACACTATTAGGATAAAGAGGATAAAGCCTCTTCTTGCTTTATCTGTATGATGGCTGCTACTTCCCTCTCCGTTCTTCTTTGCATCTGAAAAGTTGCTATGCACTTAGGGCAAGAGTTGATATGTTCCAATAGCAGCAGAAGAAAAAGAAAATGAGCAATTAGGACAGGAAATCTAATCCTCAACTGTGAAACTGGGTGGAGTCACGTGACCAATTCATATGGTGACCATCATGTTATAGCCAATACATAAGTAAAGCCCCAAAAGCCAAGGCCAACCCAGAACAACTGCAATCATTACAGAGGAAAATGTAGACTGTAAATTCAGTCTAAGTTTTTGTCTTATTAGAAGATGCGGAAAATAGAGGGGAAGAAAAATAGTTTCTCTAATTTTTAGTACATACTCAAAATATGTGACATATTCAGCGTTCTGTATAATTTCAGCTTTTGTTCATTCCAAGAAACTGGAATGACTTCAGGGGACAAAAGATGAAATGCCCATTACAAAAATAATAAACAAGGGTTGATGAACACATTTTCCTAGTGTAAAAGATCTTAGCATGTGTTTTAGTATAGTACAACACCATCTACCCAAATTACGCTGGGTTAGAAAGATGGATGGTGACTATATTATACACTGTATAATATATAAATAACTGGCTACGTTATTTACACCAAGAGGTGCAACAACAGTTCACCACATCAAGAGATCAAGGATTAAGTCAGCTGTGTTGATTCATTCTTTTTCTGGAGGAATTATATTTATGGTCAGTTTGATGGCTTTATATCCTGGTTGTACACAGAAATTTGAATGCACCTACTTTTCCTTGCCATAATGATTTCTCTTTGAAAGAAGATAAATAGTCCTAGACATTGGAGGCTGTTACTCTTTGTTTTGTTTAGAGGACGAAGGGTTTTACAAATACATCTGTCCTTAAAAAAAATAGATGTTCTGCTACAATCTCATAGAACAGTTGCACATAGTAGGAGGCCCACTTTTCCAGACTGTGGATCCAAATAATTCCTGCAGCAGTATTTGTTCCCGCCAAGATGAGTGAACTCCAAAAGGCTTTTAAAAAAATAAAATAAAAATAAGCCAGTTGATGCTTCCTTTCAGGGGAGTGTCAGTCTTCTATCTTTATCATTGTGTTTGGACGGCACCTGAGCTTGAAGTTGTGTTTCTGAGATACTTGCTTTGCCCTGCACGGTTCTTTGAGTATAAAAAAGAATGTAGGCCTGGGTTTTGCATACCTCCTCCACACTACATACATTCAGTTTGGAGTCATTGCAGTGGACCCAAAACCCTAAAAAGGAGAGGAAACACAATTTATTAATGGCAGGGATTTATCCTGACAAATAATTTTTTTTGAACTGGTCCATAGACAGATGACCCCTTGAGCTTCTGTAGCACTTCTACAGAAGCTACAGAGAGAACCACAATATAATGTGCCCAAGGGGACATTTGTATTGAACAGCAGCCCCATGTGCTCAAAAGCAAGCCATTTTTGAAACTCAAGGGGACTTTCCAAAGCAGTTTTTGACATACTATGGTTCTGCTGCTGTTCAAGGAATACAAGTAAACAATTCTAATAAGCAATCCCAAACATATGGCTGCTCCTAAAAGGGGCTTTCTGGGTCTCAGCCAAATATACTGCTATGTTATCTAAGCTTCCCCATTTTATAGTGTTATCCTGGATAACATTCAAGAAAAGATAATTGTAATTCTGCTTTTCTCCAGATGGCTGGGGAAATATGCTGTACAGTATTAACATTTTGAAGGGAGATGCAAGACAATAAGGAAGTGTGGATGTTCTCCATTCAGTGTGAATTTATCATCTGAACAAGTCTGCTTATAGTTTGGAGAAAGAGAAATAGCAATTCACTGAGCAAGCAAAATAGTTTAATTCAATGTGGATATTAAGTAAAAGAAAAATAGAATATGACTTTTCTTTTTCAGAGCAAGAGCAAGCAATATAATCTATTCTGAATGACCACAAGCAAGAAGAAAAGCAGTTTAATTCCTAGTGTTACCAGCAGATATACTACTAGCTGTATACTGTGGAAACAGCTATAATATTGCAGGAAACAAATACATTTTTAATAAGTGGTAATTCTACAAGATGCAATCAGTTAAAAAAGTTCTCCCTATAACAAGGCACACGCACCTCCCTCTGTGTTGTAGCAATATGCCGTGTAATGTCCTGAGCCAAACCCTTTCCCGTGATGCATCACCACAGCCGAGAGGTCATAGACAAAGGTCTCTTTGTCAAGAGAAGAAAGAGTGTCCCTGCAGCAGTAAGGTTCCATGTTTAATACCTGGTCAAAGAGGACATGGACCCCAATCTTCTCACGGTGATTACGCCCAGACCACCTGCAATACAAAGGCATGCAATCAAAAGGGCTTTTTTTTAAAAAAAGGCAGGGGCGCTGACAGCTGTAGCAAAGCTATAACAAGATTTCAAAGAATTATGATATTCTGGATAGTGTACTTAATGAAAAAATTCAACTGAATGGTCCTAATTTACTGCACTTAATATAGTCTGTTTTACAATATGAAATACAGGCCTTTCTACATGCTTTTGTAAAACATATTTCTTCAACAATATTATTCCATGCAATACATTTTGAAAACTGTTCTGCTTTTATTTTCAAACTACTTTTATTATTTTCTGAAACTGATGATCAATAAACCATTATTTAGCAAAGGACTATCATCAGGCTTAGTAGTAATTCAAAGTAGCTTCCTAGGTCATTAGCAATTACATTTTAGTAAACTCAAAAATAATTACATTACCAATTAGAAATAAAAATACATCTCCAAGTTGGGAAGAATATTTTCTGCCTTCTTGCTTTCTTAGAAATGTAAGATGGGTAAGTCAATACTATTTAGTGGATGTAAGTTGGCCCAATAAAAGAACTCCCATTCTTAGGCATAAATATTACAAAAGGGTTTTTCCTGCTAAAAGACAGGCATGTTATACTGCTCAGTTTAATTAAAGAATCTTGTTCTGAGGTTTTAAATATCTGCAAAAAATGGATACAAAGAACAAAACACACTTTGTGAAATATCTCAACCCCGGAGGTGGCCAAAATAGAGATCCTCTTTAACATAAAATTAAGCAGAATTGTACAATTATTTACAATCACAACCTGCTATGGGATACCTAATAACAGTGAATAGTGATGACATTTAAAACAAGCTAATATTGGATTCAGAATTCTCATTTTTAGGTGGAAAGGATAAGCTTACTCATTTGGTTACAATTTCACCTGTTTAACAGATGTCAGCATCAGATATGTTAGAGGAAGCTCTACAGTTACAACACACAAGCCTGTTTGATTATGCTTTCATTATAACATATTGCGGCTGCAAACCCATGAACTGCAGCAGTTGTGTTGTCACTTCTTTCCACAGATCTGTCTATTCAAACTTACTCCACTGGTGCTCCTATGGTAGTCAAAAGGCTGAGTCAATTCCTCCCACATCTACCCTCCAGGGAGGACATCAGCAGCCTTTAATGCCACTTCGAAAGACAAATCTCTTCACTGCCCTGCAGATTCATGACTACAGTACTTGGAAGAATTCCAACTTGCAATAACTTGAATCCATTTACAATATCGGAAGAACAATCAACAGGAGTTCAAGCATAGCGCTTGGAAAGAAGCAGGGATGTGAATTCAGAGGCACAAATGCACATTGCAATACAGTGGATAATATTGTGCTAGAACGGTTCTAAAACAAACAAGGAGCCTCTTACTGTGTGCATCGGATCTTTTTTACAAATGGGTGCTTCATCTGTGCTCTGTTCTGACAGAGAATCAAAAAGGGACATGAAACATTCTTACATTTCTCTTCAAAAGTAAAAGGTATGTAAGGGTGCCATTTAATAAAACGTCCAGTAGTAATATAAAAATTATATCCACACCATTGCTTCAGATACAAAGGCGATCCTTTATTCCCCCGCCCACCTCCAATTCACCTGAATCGTTTAAGGTGCAGCCGGAGGACCTGAGGTAGTCTGTAGATCATTAACTGCTTTTTAGCTTCACTTAGAATAAGAGGTTTGGGAGAAGATTTCCGCCGTTTGCCTACGTAACAATTAAGAAAGGACAAAACAGAGGGCAAGTTACAGCTTTCTGTCTTTGAACGAGAAAATTACCAACAGCAAGTCTTCTACCTTTCCACTTTCAACAGCCGGAAACTAACAATAAAGCTGCAAAGTGTGAATGCTATGGGAACTTCTGCTCAGGTCTCTCTCAGCAACTCTGTGAAGTTTGAACCACATGAATTTGCTGGAAATTTGAAACATGCTTTATTTCCTCTTGCAAGTCATTTTTCAATCATCTGTTTATGGTTTCATGCTGCTTATCTGAAAATTATTTTCAGCACTTTTACTTAGATCCAAGTCCCATGAAGTTCTATAGGATAAATTCCCTTGCTTAATGACAACGTCTGCAGAGGAGAGAGACTGATGGAGCCACCAGGTTAGGAATGATGAAGACATTTTCTCAAACTAGTATTTTAAAGTAAACTCTACTAAAACATACACATACATCACATAGCACCAGAACAATTCCTGAGAAGATTAGTAGGTTAATGGTTAGTAATTTCTACAGTTAGTAATTTTTAGTAATTGAATTACATTTCAGAGTAATTCAAAGCTTCTAAAAACACAACTATGTAAATACACTTTGCACATTGTCGATTCAGATGCAAACAGCAAACCATGGTTTGATTAAACCAGGAAATTACTCATTCAGATGAGTGTGTAAGAGGAGGAGTATGTGCAAACGCAGGACTAATCATACAAACAATGGTTTGGAGGACTGGAAGTATTACTTCTAAACCTACACTTAAGTCTTTTAAGATGCCAGAAGACTCTTTGTTTATATCTCAAGAATAAACATATGTCATAGAAGTCTTTTCCACAGCTGCCCACTCCACTGTGATACTAATCCCTAGAAAACCTTTTAAAAATAAATGACAAATACTCACCTGAACCTATTTTGATATAGGAAGTCTGAATAAAAACCATTTCCAGCCATACATTATGGCTGACATCTATAGTTTCTTCCTTGATCATTTATGATTTATATCCTATTATAAAAGTCATAGTTCCCTTATTAATTATCTCAAATAGTATCCCAAGGTTTTATCTCTGCAACCTCAATACACACTATTTTTGAGACTACATGGCAACTTTGAATAATTATGAAGAAGGAAACAAAGGAGGAATACTAACATATCTTGAATTTGGCAAAGTGTGCTTGGCCAAAAATTATAGATATGTATCCCAATCCTAGGACAGCAATCCACAAATAAAATTGGAGATAATATGCAAGCACGGGTGTATTAACGTGTTTCCAAGGTACTATCGTACTGACAAATTCAAAACAAAGCTTCAAATGCAAGAAATCCTCAGTGTCAATGTTTAAATACAGGCCATTCTGTGTCTTCATGAATACACAAAAAAGAACACATGAAAATGTGTGTAGCTGAACGCTTGAGGAAGGCTACAACAGTGAAGTATGGCGTTTTCTGTAGTGAATAACTCTTTACCTCAGTCTCTCAAATTCTATTCCCGTTTTTAATAGCATCCTGAAACAAAACAAAAAACCAACCCAATTTCTGCCAAAACCAACCCAAGCAACTTTTAATCTGCAATTGAAACTTCCTTAAACCAGACAGACAGAATCCTGTCACCTGTGCCAGAAGCTGTCACCAGGAAGGGTGGGAGGGAAGAGTTCTCTCCAATACAGAAAGAATGGAATGGCTCTGTAAGTTCATCAGATCAATTGGGTATGCAAACTTACCCAATTTCTATAATTAATTTCAATTGTTGAACCCTGTTTTATTGTTATCAGTTTCTTTTAAAAAGCAAACAACACAGTTCCAGCCTGCCTGCATTTTCACCATAAACATGCATAACATTAGCACTGGATGATGGAATCACTGTAGTTGTTATTCTTCTGGAGACATTACTACTTTTCCTCAATGAGCTTTCCTTTCTGTTTTTCAGAACATAAAAGACCCTAAAAAGAGCAGGTTCTTCCTACAACCATGTCTCTACCCTATTCGGTTAGGAGAACTTCTCTGTTTTAGCAATCTGGCAAATAATAATAATAATAATAATAATAATAATAATAATAATATAGGACTTCTTCCCATTACTTTCAGTAACATTTCAGTATAGTTCTAAGTGGAGTAAAACCCTTTTACCTTCTGTGATGTTCAACATCAATATTGCTGATGGCACTATAAAGCATTATTTATTATTAACAACTTTTTACAGTTTTCGGAACTGTTGAATGGAAGGACAAGAATCGTGGAAGCACCTGTTATAGTGTCACCAGGCACAATGGAAAATTAAATCTGTAAGTAACACATCAGTCTTTCACTTACTGTTGCACTGGTCACATGCATAAATCCTTCCTTCCAAAGCTTCTGTTTCTGTGAATTTGGCCAACATTTCAGTCAGCATGCACTCCGTCTGATTAACAGGCACAATCCCTTTGTTGATGGAGTGATACCGCTCAGGAAATTCCAGGGAAAGATCCCAGAAAGGTTCCACAGTATTAGATTTATAGTTACAGGTTATACAGGTGACCTAGCAAGAAAAGGTTTATTTATTAAGACATACATTTATACAGATACCGTTTCATAAGACACTGTGAGGCCAGTGAGTGAGGCTTAGCAGCCAAGAAAATATGGCTTATTCTGTGCTCTAAGTAAGTCTGTAACAATCTGTAAGAGAGGGGTTGTGCTTGGAAATTCCCAGATACGGACAGAGAGGCATCTTCAGAATAATTTCTATTGTTTGATCATACTGCCTTTGTACAACTCTCTAGTCTAAGAATGAATTCAGTCCTACTGAAATCTATGGCTAATATGACTTCAGTTCTGTTAAAATGAAGTTCTTAATAGGCCTGAATTATTTGCTCAAATTAAAACTTTTCATTCAAAATTTATATATTAAAAAAAATCAACTCCATTAAGTAATTCCTCTAACTTGATTTATTGATAAATGCCCATATCTATTTAATTTTCTTCACCGCTATAATGAGTTGCAGAATATAGTTCTTCAGTTTATTGGTATGTTCAAGAGGATTTTGTTACATGATACCAATATTGCTGTTTAGTGGGTAATAGGTTTGTTTTTGTTAATTGCTTCACCAAGAAGAAATAATGTATTTTACCCAGTTTGCTAGACCAAACCTGTGAAAAGATGCATACTGCAACATAGCTCCAATTTATACCTAAAGCCAATGGCATTATATGCACTGATTTCCTCCCTGACTTCCAGTTGTAATGAAAGCAAAGTTTGTTAATCTGGATGTAATGACATGAACCAGAAAGTGGGGTGGGGTGGGGTCAGAGCTTGTGAGGAAAGGAATCTTGAATGTCCAAGATTCACTCATGTAATGTCAAGCCACCACAGCATGGTGTTACATGAGAACTGCCTATAATGTCTACTTAGAGCAAGCATTCCCAACCTGTGGCCCTCCAGATGTTTTGGCCTACAACTCCCACGATCCCTAGCTAACAGGACCAGTGGTCAGGGATGATGGGAATTGTAGTCCAAAACATCTGGAGGGCCGAAGGTTGGGGATGCCTGACTTAGAGTATTATATACCTGGGAGCTTCTGAATGAGGAACATAATAGTATGATATTTTGCAAAAATGAAAACAAAAACGGGAGTGGAGGAGAAAACTTTGCCTCATTCTCCCAAAAGATTCTGATGGGTTAACAATGCAGTTTGCAAAAGCTAAGTGGAAACAGCCAAAAGCACCTAACTAGGAGGAGAGAAAAAATAGTGCCACAGTCATGCTTTGCAAAAAAACAACAACAAAACCCTACACCCATTATATAAACAAAGCCTATCTATCCCCAGCCATATTTGGAATAGTAAGTATAAACTATAGCAAAGACTCTAACATTGTTCTGTTAGCAGCATGAGTTGCTGAAAAGGGAAATTAATCGAATCTTCTGCTAAACCTCACAATCCCCCACAATTGCAATAAAATACTACTACTACTACTACTACTACTACTACTACTACTATAATTTTGTTCCATTAGAAAAATATGCTGAAAATGACAAATTTCACTTAAGGTATACTACAAATTCTCCTTTTGCCAGGTACATGCATTAATATTTGGTTATTCATAAATACTGTCACCAAAAAGTGTCTCTAGCTTTGATAAATATAAATTTGGCTAACATGCATACCTGACTGAGCAGCTGCCCATGAAAGATGGTGTTCACCACCTTCAGGACCTGCTTGGTGAGCTTCCTCTGTGAAAAAGGGATGAGGATCCTGCGTTTTGTTCCTTCAGATTCCAACTCCTGCTGCACTTTGTCCAACAATTCACAAAGAAATTCCTGAGCATCTTGCTGGTCATAACCTCGAAACGCTGGAATCAAACTCCACACAGAGTGCAGCATGGCAAAAGGAGAGACCGAGGCCCACTTCCCAGACCACATGACTCTGAAGAGCGTGTGCAGTTCGTGACAGAGAGAGATGTGCTTTGAACTTGGCTCCTTGGGCTGTGTAAGTTCTAAACTTTTGCTTATTGAGGACCCGCCATTTAAGCCAGCTGGCAGGCTCTGCCTGCCATATGAACCCAGTTGATCATTCCTCCCTGAATCGGTTGGAGCAGGCCCATTGACCAGCTTTCCAGACATTCTAGACTTTCCATTCACGGTCTTAGCTAAGAGTTCTTCAGTTTCACAAAGATCCAGCGTCAAGAAACATTCTCTAAACTTTTGGAGGTGACTTAAAACTTGAAGGATTGAGTTCATATAGCATGTGTTGCCTAGATTCTTTAGTCCAGTCACACCAGGAGTCATTTGAGGCTTACGCCGGATGGAATAGAATTGTTTGAATTTGCTATTCTGCACTCGTCTTGAGGTAGGGGAACTTGCTTCCATATCTCTGAATTTCCGAGGAATGAGATTCTCTCTGCGGATGTGCGACAAAAGCCGGGCACTTTTTCTTGGAGGCGTGTTTGCCAATTCCTCCAGCAATCTCCGCTTCATTTCTTGACGCCTCTGCCTGGCCACTTCCTTCTTCCTCTCCAGCTCTTCCAATTGTTTCTTTTGTTCTAGTTTGCGCTGGCCTCTAGAACTCTTATCAAACCAGGTCCGTAGTGCTTTTGCTAGCAATGACTGCCGTCTGTACCAGAGAGCTGTAAGCATCTGAGGCTTTCCCTGAGGGGCCCTCTGATGACTGCAAACATCCTCCCCCAAAGCCATTGACCGTAGCGTCCTACCACTTTTAGCAGACGGATCATGCTTCTGGCTTTTAATTGCAGATAGAGAACTTCTAAGCAATTTCAGGTCACCCTCGGGATTATCGTTCAACACATAGTCTTCGCAAAGGTAACAAAACACGTACAGGTCGTTAACTTCCATGGCCAAAGGATGCCTGGTCTCTTCGAAATGCTTAAGTGCATGGTCCTCAATATATCTTCCACAAGCCACATGGGAGCATTTCAGGCAGGCCCAAACAGATTCCGTGGTGTTGCAGTCCATGCAGTGCCACTTCTGGGGGTTCAGAATAGAATGGTCCTGGGCAAGTCGTAGCCGCCCAACATGTTTGCATCTATCCATGTCTCACATAAAGCTCCACTGCTTTAACCTTGCAAAGGAGACAGAAAAGAACTTAAGTAACTGCACCCATTAAAAAATACAGTCATATATTATTTTTTAAAACCACCCCAATAGCCTAGGCAGTGTGTATGGAGGTCCTGGGCTGCCCAGACAACAAGACCACCACCCCTTGGCCTTGCTGATGTGGTCTAAAGGAAAGAAGAGCCATGCATTTGGCACCAGCTTGGCTGCAGGAGTTGCTGGAAGGAGACGTACAAGGCGCCATCCAACCATCTTAGGGACTCCACTCCAGATTTGTGTAGGGTTTACTCCTTGGCCATATGTTGTATAAACAAAATTAAAATTGGACTGCACAATCTCTAAACACACAATGGCTTGACTCACACATAAAGCTTAAGTATGGTTTAGCCTTACAAGGGTAAGCCACAGTAAAGTCTTGGGCTTGTGTTCTTCTCCCTTTTCTCCTCTCTTCATCCAGTGTGGCTGCACTTCCAAATTTCTTCCCGGCAGCAGTCATGTACCGGGCAGCTCACAGGCCCAAGACTTGTTCACATATTGCTAAACCATAGTTTAGCACTACATACAAATAAGGTCAATGTCTCATTTGTACGCAACCTGAATTCTATGCCAGGAAAGGCACATTACTGCACAGAAAACATTCATTCGCTAGAAATAATATTACTAAATCATATTATGCTGTTTTAATAGACTTTTTACCATGCTATTTTTCAAGGCTTAGCTCTTCAAGAACAAACTAAGTTATGAATTATATAGAGCTTCAGCAATAATAAGCTGTAGCAAAGACCAAACATTTGCTACAGATTGTGGTTAAAAAACATAGTGTTTAACCATGATCCCAGGTAAGAAAAACCTTGGCCTGGCGGAGCAACAAAGCAGCTGTCACCTCCCTGGGAGGCAGCATGTTCGTGCTAAACCGTGGCCTGGCTTAGTGTTACACGCAAACATGGCCAATATGTCCACATCTACATATTTGTTTCAACTTAATTCTGAACTAATATTTAAAAATTATTTTTGTTTCCTGTCAGGGAACTGCCATCAGAGACTAGAGGAGAGGGAAGTCGCCCCAATGATGCAGGGGAGGGAACTAGCAAGGAGAGAGAGAGAGAGCTTCCGCTGGGGAAGGAAATCAAGGTGACACCAGGAAGAAAGGGGAGGCTGAGAGTACTTCGGAGGGAAGGCTCCGAGACTCTTCCAGTGAGATCAGCGGGGAGAGCACAGGACCTCCGCTTGGCACGCCCACTCTGCGCAGAAAGCTTCCGCGCAGAGAATCTAGGCGGAGACTTGGAGTCAAAGAATTCTTATGTTGGAAGAAGTTTAGGAAACGCCCACTGACGGATTCTGCCAGTGATTGAGACAGTCGCGTTGTAAGGGCTGTCAAACCAGGGAAAGGTTTAGCTATACAACCAGCTTGGAGCAGTTTGGAGTTTACGCACAAGCAACCCCAATTCCCATTACATTTCCCATTGTTTTGAAATTTCTCAGGAATCTGTATCAACCAGTAGGGAACCACTATCATTCGTGATAGGTAGAAAACAGAATAGAACACTTCTTCCAGAAACTGTAATTAACATTACATAGTAAGCTCACTTAGCCTTGAAATTCTCTAGAATGAACAGGCTTACAAGTATAACCAGACCTCTTGTGAGCCACAGACAATTTGCAGAGGCATCCTACCCATCCTTATACAACAACACTGGCCCAGGAATTCTCTTTGAGGCAGAGTCAATAAAAATCAAGAGTTAATTAAAAATAGAATTTTAAATCTGATTTTTCAAATGTTTCATATATAGCTTTTCTTTTAAAAAATAAAAAACCTTTTAAAAAACTAACTATAATACCAACAAATATATTTAAACCTGCACTTTAATGCTCTTAAAACCAAAACATGGCATTCTATCTATTACCGAATTAAATGCAACCTTTATATTTAAAACAAACAAACAAACAAAAAACTAGGGGAAACATATCTGACTTGGGGCTAAGTATTATAAATAACATCAAAGCCAGATTCACACATCATGGTTCCAGTCCAATATGCCCCTGTTATATCAAACTGGGAATGAGCCTTGTGCACGAACACTTCCCCTTCCCTCTCTTCATAAGCCAGTTTTCTGTGATGTCTGAACCATGGAAATGAAGTTTAAAGCATGCTTACAAACCAAAATATGACCTTGGATGGACTCTCTAGATTAGTGCTTGCAGGTACCATGTTGCAGTGGTTGTGCTGCAAGCTGGTTAGCTGATTCAAGAATGTGGTGCTGAGAGGTTTCTGCTCAGTCCAATGACACTGCGGTGTCAGATGATGACCAGGCCTCAAATCCCCACTTGGATATGAAGCGCACTGGGTGAAACTGGGCCAGTTCCTGCCTCTCAGCCTAACCCACCTCAATGGGTTGTTATGAGAATTAAATGAGGAGGGGGAGAGCCCTGTATGTAACCTTGAGCTCCTCAGAGAAAAAGGTGGGATATAAATGCAAATAAACAAATAATAAATAATATGTTTTGTTTTGTTGGAGTCCCGCAAGGTTCCGTCCTAGCCTCCATGCTTCTTAACTTCCTCATTGGGAGTGGAGAAAGATATGGCCAGCGGACTGGATCCTGAAATCCCTCACTCTTGCAGACCAGTTTGATAGGTGGGCGGGAACCATGATGTCAGGTACATTGCTTCCCTCCTTTGCAGAAAAAAAGTTCCTTTGCAGACTTACTTGAACTTGAGCAGATTGCAAAGTAAGATCCCTGAAGCAGGTCCCCGTGGGTGTTGCAGTCAGTGCCAATCAGCTGGTCAGCACGCCTGCAATGCTCCATTTCGGCAGAGATCAACTATGCTTGGGAGCTCTGATTGTGAACTGCAGGATGCAGCTGAGGCGGGACGGGGTGGGCTCTGCTGGCCAAGGAAAATTTGAAAGCAAATGTTAAAGCTCTCAATTATTCCTTTACAGCCATGTTTTCTCCTTTCCGACACCTGATGTCACAAGTGGGTGTGGTTTGAGGAATATGGCCCCGTGACTAAATTAGCAGAGGTTCCCCACTGCGGATCTACATGAAACCATCACAAATGAGGCAGCCGTAGCTGCAGGTTTTCTCGTTCTGCTGCCCAATTAATGGAATTCTCACCTTGTGCCTACTTTGTTATCTTTTCAGCACCAGGTAGAGATCTTTTAGTTGTCCCAGGTTTCTAACTGTGAAACTGTGATGACTTTATTGCTGCCAGTTTTTAGCTGCTAACTTCTACTTCAGTTTGTTAATGTTTCCATTACATCCGTTTTATTTCTATTCTGTAAATTGCTCCAAGAATACTTGGCGACACAAAAAAAATTCAAAATAAACATAATGAAAAATACACACTTTTATGGGGGAAAGTTGGTATACCTATTCACACTGACAAACATGGCACTAATAAATAAAATAAATGAAAAAAACAGTCTTGCTAATATTTTTAGGACACACAGAATAAATGCACAATGTACACCTATGGCAGAATTTATAAATAAATGATTAAAGCTTGTGTTGTATTGCATTAATTTGTAACATTTCTTTTAAAAGTCTAGCATCTTTGTCAGGGCTATTTGTAAACAGAAAGATGGCCTTGTAACTTTCAGTATAAATGGAAGCTACTGAGTTCTTACATAAAACAAAGTTATACTGTCATTAAGCTATGCTTGTACCTGCAGCATTAAGTGCTGATAATCTCAGTTTCTTCCTTTAAAATGGCAAAAGCAAAAAGTTTACTTAGATACTTGCTGGCAGATTTTAATTTTTTTATCCTATTAATCAAGGGTGTTAAGCAAAATCCTCCTATGAAACAATTTCCACCCTCCCTTCCCAACAGATAGGAAGGGTTTGTGACACTGAGCGGGCTTACCTGGTCTGGTGCCTCCCACCTGGGTCAGAGTGGCTATCGTCCCCCCCTGGCCTGGGAGGACAATGGACGGCCGGCTGGGGGTGGGGCAAAGGCCAAGGAAAAGAGGGGTTCAGCACGTGTGCTTGCAATAGGAAGTGGTACCTTATGCAATTCACTTTGCAGACTTGTCTAAAACCATAGGATACATTATCAGCAGGACATAATTAGTCTTTTAATACTCTTCAGTAATAGCAGGAATACAAGAAAATGGCCACAACAAAAGGAGCCTCACATACACAGAGGGTATGCAGTTATACTTCGGGTTGAAGTAGCTTCAGGTTAAGTATTTTCGGGTTGCGCTCCGCAGTGACCCGGAAGTAATGGAGCGCGTTACTTCTGGGTTTCGCCACTCGCGCATGCGCAGACGCTCAAAATGACGTCACACGGAAGCGGCAAAACGCAACCCGCGCACACGCGCATTATGTTTACTTCAGGATGCGAACGGGGCTCCGGAACGGATCCCGTTCGTATCCAGAGGTACCACTGTATTAGCTCCAGGTCATAAGCATATGGGCTTCTTTCCTCTGCAGGTGCTGATACAACAAGCACTCTTGTTTGCTCAATTTGCTGAATTACAGCATGCGTGCGTGCATGCATGCGAAAGAGAAAAAATACAGGCCAGACATCAAAACAAGTTTAAAACAGAATACAATACTCACCGATTCATATTTAAATATTCCCGCAACTCAACGATCAGAGGCTGGAACATCCCCATTGCAGTCAATAGGAACTTCAACTGTTCTTCAGGAATTTACTTATAACTTAGATCTTCATCAGAAACAGGCAATGCGGTGTTATAGCCCTAAAGAGAAAGTATTCATGTGAAACATATATAAACAAGAAATAGGCTGTGCAGCTTTAGAACATGAATCATTCCTCTAGTGGAGAGAATATATTTTTAATGATGGACAAGAAACTAACTAGACAGCACAATTATAGCACAGCCATTGATGAAGAAATGTCAAAAGGAAAAAGCCACTCTGGATTTCCTTTGTTTGAGAGCTTTAGCTTTTTAGAACTGTCTGCTACTCATATACAGTTGATTCAGTCTATTACTGCTAATCAACTACCTACATATTTGCAAAGCAAAATCTAAAAAGGAAAGGCCGGGTAAAAAATGCACATATTGGATCACTTTGATTTGGATGGCCGAGAAAACAGCTTTTTGTAGGGAAATTCTACCATCCATTCAACTTTGATTCCTAGGATTTTAGAACATATCTATCTGTGCATGTACAATGCAAATATAATATGGATTACGTGCCTCCCCCCCTCCAAACAAAGACAAAAAACCTAGTTAACAAGAGGAACAAATATTGAGTTTAAGGAGGGCAATTTACAAGGGGAAACTAACTTGTCTGAATGCAGCAAAAGTCTGAATGCAGCATATTAACAATATGGACAGAATGCATAGTTTCATCATCCCTACGCAAGACGCAACCTTACAGTGATGCTTATGATACTACAGTACTTGCTGATAAAAAGAATCCTCACACACCAAAAACATCTGTGGGTACATAGTAAATCATTCCTCACACTGTTCTGTGCTCACAACTAGGGCAGGCTAGCTTTTCCTGGAGGATCCTTTTGTCCTTAGAAGCAATCCAATTTATCCTCTGACATCTAGCCCCATGGGGAATCTCTCTATTTGCATGTCTTTGGCCTCCCACTAAGCAGATTTCAATAGGTATGCTGAGATGGGGTTGGCCAGGGGTGCCAATCTGGAGAACTTTCTGTGAATTTTAGCAAACAACAAAGGAGTCACATGGGATTTGGGGGCAAGAAAGGGGGTGGGGTGGAAGAGGCAGAAGGGAGTACAATAGGGAACTCCCCACTAAGATTAGCTAAGACAAGGAGAAGTGTCTTATTTCGTCATGAGTGGCAATTTATTCAACAGAAACCTGAGACTTGCAAGAGGTGAAGATAAGCAGACCTAAGATAAATGTGGCAAGAACTTGCTGTGAACTAGAGAACTAGGAATATGTCAACCAACTAAATTCAGTCCATTAACTTAACTCTTTAGTTATCATTCCAAGCTGAAACAAAATCTAGGCACATGCAAACACATACCTTACAACTTCCTTGAAGTTGTAAGAAGAAGTGTGCATGCACACGAAAGCTCATACCAAGAACTAACTTAGTTGGTCTTTAAGGTGCTACTGGAAGGAATTTTTTTTGTTTTGACTATGGCAGACCAACACGGCTACCTATCTGTAACTTCCTTGAAGTCATCCCCCTCTCCCAACACACACCTTGTTCTATTCCCCACTGTTAAAATCTGGATTGCAAGCTCCTCACAACAAAGACCTGTTTTGTTTCACTTATTTTGCTATGTCACGTTTCAGATATATTGATGGCACTATACAAACAATCCCAAAACCTACAGCAGAGCAAGCCTGGCTTTTATGCAACATAGTACAAACAACAGGATCTTAAGATTAATCACAAAAAATCTAGTTCTAAAAGAAAAATCATTCACAAGAAATATTGTATAAACTAACTGTAAGGCATCAATAAGCATGTGGTATGAGCCACATGATTTACTGTACATGGAGGTTTGAGGCAGTTTTTATTAAAATCACTTTCCAAAAGGTTCACATGCACAGAGTTGTAACCATCATAGTGTCAACAGTGGTATGAAACTACACCATTATTTGACTATGCATGCAATCACTAATATTTTTTTAATCCTCACACAGACCAGGAACCAGTTAAAAAAAAAAGTATTTCAAAGGGATGGATCTAAAACAACAGACATCCCCTGTATGCACTGTTGTTTAACTCATTAAGAATCCCAAGAGCATGTGGTAAAGTACCCTAGTTAACTTGTAAACAGTGCAAATACAAAATCTGTGAACTCTTAACAGAAAGGTTTAGTAGTATTGATTGGAGGAAAGAGTATCAAAAAGAACTATTAATGGATAAGAGAGGTGAATTAAAAACAGATGTGTATCCTTCCCCACTCAGTTTTACTTTTTCTGCAACGATACAAGATATCTCAGCTTATGACTTTATATTGTGTCCTTTTTCCAAGGAGCTCAGAGTGGATCTCTTTAGCTTCTCAACAGCCATGTTAGGTAGGTTAAACTGAGAGCGTGTAATTTGCCTATAGCAAATTAAGAACTCCCCAGTAAAACTTAGGAAGGCTAGTAGCACAGGAGGGATCTGAGGCAAGGTCCAAGCATGGGTGCAGCCAAGGGGAACCAGGGGGGCCCCTGTGCCCCCTAAATCAAGTAAATAAATAAAAATACTTAACTAACTGAGGTTCTCCCCCCCCCAAACATAAATCTTGGCTACGCCTATGGGTCCAAGGCTAATATTCCAGATGCTGCACCATATAGGCTTGCATTATTATAATAATGACCAGGCACATTACAGCTTGAAATCCCATTCTCGCACCCCAAAACATAAGGAAATGGGAGCAGGGGAGCAATCTATCTGAACAGACTTGTTCAACAGATGGAATAAATTGAGTGAGTCCTGTAGCTGTCTCCTCATCAAAAGTCCCCATCGCCACATCTGACCTCTCCTGATGCCTTAGACAAGACCAGCCACAAACACACAGACGTGAGGCAGTAAGCTTAAACTTGGTGATCTGTTTTCTCTGCCCCTTTAATAGAGTGTGTCCAAACGAAGTCACAAGCTTGACATGTCACATGAGGAATAGGAACACTGTCCTCTTCTTACAAGTTAGAAGCCTCTAGAAACCTCCTGAATTGTCAGACAGAATGGTCTTTCTGTTTTAAAATTCTCACGTCCTTTGGTTGAGAAAAATAAATTAGTACTCATTCTTCACGGTTCACTATCTGTAATTAGCTCACACTATTTTGCAGAACAACGCTGATCCAGCTCTATAACCATTACATTGATAAAGTTTCCCAAGACGGCTTCTATATACCAGTATATACTTAGATTTATACCGTATAGGTTTGAAACTGTGTTCCAACCAGCATGCTTGTTGATAACAACACACACACAAGCCACTGCCAGTTTTGTGTGTTTTGTTTTTAGCATTTTCCCCTTGAAAGTGTTTCCAGAGCCAAGAAAAGCAGCCAGCTGCAATTATAATGGCTGCATAATGTTGCCTGGATGGGAATGAAGCCAGAGTGTTTCATTCAGATATTGGACACTGTAAAAATTAAGACAAGAGTAATATATGCAAACCACACCAAGGAAACAAGAGTTTTGCCAAGGACTTGAAGAAATCCTCTGATAGAAAACCAGATCATCATAATATCACTCAAGTGGGGGCCAAAAATGTAAAGTATAAAAACTCAAAAATCTTTATTGATCTGATCATCATGACCCTATAACAGCTCCAACTGGAGTTAGCAATTTACTTAAGACCATGCCAACAATGTGGTCCTGCAGATGTTGCTGAGTACAACTCCCATCATCCCTGGCTTTCAGGCATACTGGCTAAAGCTCATGGGAGTTATCTAGAAAGCCTGTCAGAATTACACACAAAAACACCCTAGATGTATGACACTATGCCACCATACTGTCCAGGCTATCACTACACCATCATCAGTAAAGCCAAGCATAAATTCCATCAGACTTAACCACCATTTGATGGTTCCTAGCAAGCTGTTTTGTTTTTTCTATCCTGCATCTTGGCAGCCACATAGTAGAGGACACAATTTGTAATGACCAAGGGGCCATTTCCCCTAGCCACACATGAGACACTCCTCTGGGGGTGGGTCCTGCACACTTGTCCTCTGTCAGAGTTGTTGAAAGCCCCAAAGTCTTGATCAATATCACAGAAAATTGACCTCCTGCTTGTAAATAGCAATGAAAAAATATTTCCATGAGTGGTGGGTTTTACTGCTTTTGGCCAAAGCTTAATATGGATTCACATGTGCTTAACTGTACTGCAGTCAGTTTTAAATATCTGCTCCAGTCTATGTACTTCTGATATATTTTCTGTTTTGAAAGCAGAACCTTGTGGCACCTTAGACTAACAAGCTTACTGCAGCATATACGTTTTTGTGGACTGCAGTCCACTTCATCAGACTCATGAAGTGCTATCGTAAGTTGGCAGGCATATATACACCTATGCGCATAAAGTAAAATGAAATGAAAAGAAAGAAATTTAAACAGAGGGAAGTGAAATAGAAAATAATGTAGCCTGTGATAATTTCACAATTGCTTAAATGTATATGAAAAATAAATACAGTGAGCATTTGTGCAATTGGTAAATTAACTCCGCTGGTAGGATTTAAAAAACTGTTATCTGAATTCAGATCACAGGGGATAGAACTGAACTTCTTTGTAAGTTGTAATTCAGAAGTTTCACAGTGGCATCTCCTCTGAAGCTCCTTTGTTCAAGAGGGACAGTTTTAAGGTCAACAGAGTGTATGCCCTCAGAAGTTGAAATGTACTCCTACTGGTTTCTGAATATTGTCCTTTCTGATGTCTTGCTTACAGGCAGTATCCCCATCCACCACAACTTAAAACAGCTAGTCACTAGGTACAATAGGACATATAACAGAGACACAAACAAAGCGACCAGCTGATGCCAACGCTGCCCCCCCTATCTACTTTGGCAGCACTATTACAGAACCTAATAATGTCAGCCACAACGTCATGGGCTCACTCACAGCTCATCTTACAGTGTGATATATGCTATCACCTTCCAGCAATGCCCGTTTGCATATACAGAGGTCAAGCAGACCCATCTCTGCATAAATGAATAAATGTATACAAATCTGGCGGGACGCGGGTGGCACTGTGGGTAAAAGCCTCAGCGCCTAGGGCTTGCCGATCGAAAGGTCGGCGGTTCGAATCCCCGCGGCGGGGTGC